ATACATGGAGGGCATCACCTGTGGCCCAGTTTAGTGGCACAGTCAGAGCTGCAGAAAACCTTTTTGCTTTTCAAAACAGTATTAGTTTTTTTAACTTAGGGAGCACTTTCATTTTCTTCAAGGAGGAAGCTATGCAAAGAGTACTGCCCAAGCAGGAAACTGTTGCACAATGCTTTATATTACCCCTTCGGTGAAAAGGAAAGCAAAAAAACCCCTTTTGTTATTAAAAAGAAAAGAAAAAGTAGATAAGAAAATGCTTTAATGTCCTTTTGCTGTGGTCTCCAGGAGGTAGAGGATTAGGTCCATTGAATCTGCAGAGAATTTTGACACTTACTGCACTGCAATAAAAATATATAATTGAGTGAATTGGTTCTTGGATAATATGTACATGATTTGGTATAACAAATATTGATGAGAATGCATGTAAAATAGATCCTATACATTTGTGTATTGCTCTGGAAAAAAATGGGGACATGGTGCAGCTCTGGCCACACTTCAGCTGTATCAAAGTTAAAATATTTAGGATTTATTTTGAGGAAGGGATAGTGAATGATAGACCTAGGAAGAATAGAAGCCATAATTAGGCTCCTATGTCTGGTTGCAAAAAAGCAGATATGAGGATTTTTCAGAATCGTGGGATTTCATCAGCTGTTGTTTCCTGGGTTAGGGGAATTGACTAAGCCTCTGACAGAGGCAACCAATAATGAAAACACAGAACTTGTCGCACAGGGCCCAGAGACGGAACAAGCTTTTAAAGCAATAAAATGGCATCTGCTCCTTCTCTTGGACTCCCAGATTATACAAATCCCTTCAATCTGTATGTACATGAAGTAAAGATAGTGGAATGATAATGCAGAAATTGTGACTGCACCACAAACCTGTTGCATATTATTCCATTCGACTTGATTCAGTTGCATTGAGAAGACTAGCCTGTAGTAAATCTCTGTCAGCAGTAGCAACGATATTGAAGAATGTTGCCTCTTATCCTGGGACATCCCGTAACAGTCCATGTTCCACATGCAGTGGAAATACTGTAGACAGAGTATGCAACCCAAGCTCTGTTGCCACAATAACATTATCTTAAAAGAATATGGAACCTCGAATTCAGCAGGTCTCACACCTCTCTCTGCCTGATGATTTGAAGCTGTGCTTTGAATATGGTGTTCAGTTCTAGCACTGAGGTGCTGGGGTGTGTGAAGGGTCTAGAGAATTAAGTTTGAGGAGTGGTTGAGGGACCTGAGGCTGTTTGGCTTGGAGAAAAGGAGACTCAGGGTGACCTTATCACTCTCTACAACTCCCTGAAAGGAGGTTGTACTGAGTTGGGGGTTGGTGTGTTTTCCCGGGTAACAAGTGACAGGACAAGAGGACACGGCCTCAAGTTGCACCAGAGTAGGTTTAGATTGGATATTAGGAAAAAAGTTCTTCACTGAAAGGGTGGAGAAGTTGTGGAATCAAGTGATGGAATCACCGTCCCTGGAAGTATTCAGAAAACAAGTGGATGAGGCACTTGTGTACGTGGCTTAAGATTAGTGGTGAACATGGTGATGCTTTGTTAATGGATTGATTTGATGATCTTGGAAGTCTTTTCCACCCTTAACAATTCTATGATTCTCTGATGGAGAATATCACCTGTATGATGCACATTTCAAGTAAACCACAGACTGATTTAACTGACGTTGTCTTATATTGCCCAAATCTAGTTCTTTTTGCAGATGTTTTGTCCTCCTATCTGCAAGGACACTGTGGTGAACCAGGTAAAAGCAATAGAAGCAGAACCACTCTTAGCAAGGATAAGTGCACAGGGAGCAGGATTAGTAGCCTTGCCACATGCAGTGCCCAGGGGAAGAGGAGAAATGAATTAACATCTCTGTGGACTCCCAGTATGTTTTTGGGGTGCTTCAGGAACGTTGTGGAAAGAATGAGATTCTTCACATCAGCAGGACAGAGTATCTGTTCCTTGGAGAAGAAATATTCAATTTGTTAGAATTAGTACAGTTAACTGGTCCTGGATGGTCAGACAGGAAAGCTTCCTCAACAAAAATAAGCCACTGTGTGTCCTCTGTGACCTCTTGATTGGATGCTTTTGCAAACAACCGCTGGAGGCAGTGCTTTGGTGCTGGCACCGAATTTCACAAAAGGCATGTTATAAGAGCATTAATTTTCAAGATAACTACAGGGCAAGTTGGTAAAAGCATTTTAAGTGTTTTAATCAAATGTCAGAGCAAAAGCTCCAAATTCGTCATTTAGTGAGGGAAAGAAGGCAGCATTTTTTAAGATAATACCAGGGAACAGTGAGTACCTCTCACTAGTAAATGACCAATAGAGGAGTGTAGGAGTACTGAGGTTCCAGGACGCTGTCAGACTGCCCTGTTGGAGCTCATTTTCCTTGTTGCTGTCAGTCATTGTTGCTGTCAGAATGTTACACAGTCATATTTACCACAATTCTGTATAGCAGAGGTCCCTGCAGCAGTTCCATAGCTCAAGAACAGCTGCTCCTTGTTCTGTTTAATTATAGGAGTAAGTAAATCCAGATTTATAATTTGTCTACCAAAAAATGGTTTTCAGGGATCACACTGTGATCAGCTCTGGAAAAAACCTTGGGGTAGTTGCCATGGGATTTGGCTGAAATGTTCAGAGCAGCATCTGATCACTGTGGATCGATCCTGTCCTGTAGATATCTGCAGAGGTTAGTGTGAGACCTTTTGCTGCCCTGTACTTGCACTGAGCACTCAACGTGGATGTAAATCTGGGTGATGCAGGGATTGGTTAAGTAATAGATTAAAAGAGGATCATCGGGGACAGCCAAGCTGCTTAAAAATTTATGCTCTTGTGCTACAAGTACATTCAGACTCTAGAACATGCATGTTAATTGCTGTGGGAGGGGTCGTGGAATTATAGAAAGCACTGTTTTGAGAAGGGTTGGAGCTGCAGGGAGAAAGAGCAGAGGGTGGAAGGAGGGAACCATCTTCTGGCACGTGGTATGGAAAGGATATGGGGCAGACTACAGCATCTCTAACTGTGTAAAATTGATCTTAAAAGCTGGAGAGGGATAGAAAGAGAAGAATGCTTTATCAGAGATGAAAGAGTTGCCCAAGTGGGCAGAGCTGATCAGTTGGCATTCATTCTTGAAAAAAATACCAGGTACTGCCTCAGAAAGGGGCATGAAGAGCTAATGAGTAAATTAATTTTGGATAAGAAGTGTGTTTCTACACCAAGAACAGCTGCCAGGTAGAATTATAACCTTTCTACACCCTCCAATTAAGACTGACTATCCTTATGTAAGGGATAACTTTAAGGGATAACTTTTCCATACGGGTGACTACCGTGACTAAATTAGTGCTGCAAGGAGAGTTTGAGTAGATGTGCTGCTCTTGTCTTACACATTCAAGCCTCATTTCTCTCTGTGGCTTGTCTAGTGACAGTCACAGTTAGCCCTGGCTAGTGGTGGTTGTTAGCTAAGCTTAGCCTCTTCACAAGCTTTCCTTCAGTACATCTGATGGAGTTGCTGTACTCCATTTTCTGGTGTGAACTTAGTCCCCCCCTCTCTGCCTAAGAGGTGCCTCTTTGTCTTTGGCCGTGCTCCCTGCAGCTCACCCCTAACCATGCCTAAGTACTTCTGGGGAGGAAGAAACCTGCCTCAGGTAATAAGGTTTCTCCCTTCCTACAAACAGAGGGCTCAGAGGGGAAGGGTGGGCAGAGATGGGACCACTTATTGTAGTGCTGGGGTGCACAGAGTACCAGAGCTTAGGGTCTGTGCTATGGGTTCTGGCCAAAAGAATGCAGCCATCTGGCAAACAAGTGTGCAGAACTTCCCTGCACACCCAGCTTCCTGACTTCTGGTCGCTACCCGGAGGGACCAGAACAAGAAGGGCAGAACAGCAGGGTGGCAGTCACAGTCCAGGAAACTTTCTGCACAAGCTAAAATTATTTTAGAAGGGAGGACAGGGAAATGGTAGGAGGTGAGTGCTTGCTAAGCCCTAAACCTGCCGTGCAGTTTGGCTCTGTCCTTCCCTTTTTACTGTTGTTCCATCTCTGGGGTTGTTCTATACTGCTGCTGTACATCAGCAGAGCAAGAGCAGGTTTTTTCCTTTAAAAATAAATAAACAGGCCTTCAGAGAGCACAGCGTGTCAGACAGAAAGGTATTTGGTAGTAGCCAAATCTGTTCTCCAAGGAGGGTGGCCTGACTCTCAGGTCCAGCATGCTGATATCCACAGAAGTCCTGGGAACCAGAGTCTGCAGCAATGCAGCCGTGGAGCACAGAGGGTAACTTGCAAAACATCAGCATGCTCTTACTGCTGGTAAAGCCATGTCTGGCTTTGCTCCCTGACACAGTTCCTTGCAAGTAGTCTCTATGGGAGTCCTGCTGCAGGCTCCTAGGCAGGAGATCGGATGGGCTGGTTGTCTCACTGGCACTGACTATTCCTTCGAGCAGCAAAAGCAGCTCTTCTCATTTAGCCTCAGGATCCTTCCTAGCTTTTTCCTGGAAATGCCACTTACCATGCTGAGTCCCTGGGATTTGAGCTTGTCGGGGTGGCTGAAGGTGTATGAAGCCTCCTGTGGGGCTGCTTCCCAAGTCAGCTCTGTGAAAGAGGAGAGCTGAAGAGTGTTGTCTGCATGGGAATATTTGCCTTAACTAAGTCCAGGATAAGAGTGGATTTAAGTGCTTTGGTTTATAAATAAACAGTGCTGTAGCCAAGGTAGATTTAAGCAGAGCTGGCAACAGCCCTGCTTGGGAAGGGATCTCTTTGCCACATGGCCTGCTGTTGGACTTCCTGTTGCATGCTAATCCCTTAAGTCTGCTTTAGCTCTGTTAATTTTTCTTCTTTCTTTTTTTCCCCGATGAGCTGTCCCTGTGGAGCGTGAATGCCAGCTTTCCTAGGCCAAGCTTGTGCCTGCGACTGGGCCAAGCGTCCAGGCTGCCTTCCGAGCACCAGCTACCATGTGGCAGGGCCCCAGGGATGGTGGTGCCTGAATGTGTCCCATTCTCTCTGTCTTACAGGCTCTGCAGTCTGCGCCTGAAGAAACTCACGGTGCTGAAAGAGCTGGATAAAGAGCTGAGCTCTGTGCTTATTGCTGTGAAGATTCAGGTAGGTTCCTCTCCTTGCTGCTGCCTGATGGCAGCAAGCCAAACCCGTCCTTGTGCCCTCTGTGAAGTGCTGGTCTGCATGCCCCTCATGTCCCTTGCCTAGTGCCAACCAACCCCTCTGTTTCAGTCACCATGTTCAGGGAGATTTTGGCTCTCAGGCAGGTGGGGATGATGCCCCAGGGACAGTAGCAAGATACCTCGTGCTGGCTTGTATCAGGAATTAATTTGGTTAGACGCTGGGACAGAATCTGTCATGCCTCCCTGCCTGCCTCCGCCAAGACCCTCCTCTCAAACTGCTGTTTGGAGTTTGTCATCCCACTGTTTCCTACCCTTTAAGAGAGTGTCAGTGCTGAATGGTTTCCAGCAGTGCCTTCCATCCAAATCACTCCCTGGGGAGTGAAGGGTGGGAAGGGAAGGCTGCAAAGGATCAGCGTCTCTGTGCATAATGTTCTGCTGACATTTGTACCCTGTCTGATCTCACAGTTGCCTCTGTGCATCCCTGCTAGGCCTGGTGCCTCTACTGTGAACCAGGCAGAAGGGAGGGGAGAGGATCTTTTTCACCAAGGGGACAGGAATTTGCCGCCATCCTGATATGTGCGATCCCTCCACACTTTTTGCAGCTGGTGGTGGAGAGATGGGTTCCTAGGGGTGGAGGCACATCCTTTCCACCTACCAAAGGACAACATGGAATAAAATGCACGTTGAGTATGCTGTCTTGGCCACAGCTTCCCTGACCCAGCTAGGGTGCTGGTGTCCTTCCTTCATTCTTATCAGCTGGCACAAAAGCAGCTGATGCTGTTGAAAGTGTTGTGGGTTGGCAGCTCAGCAGGTTTGTGCTCCCACAGAGCTCTTGTGCTGCACACATTAGGATTTAAATCCTGGATTAATGCTGGAAGTTGCAGTATTAGTGGAGCTCTGGGAGCTGGAGTTTGCCTTCATGGCAGACCTTATTCATTCGCACAGAAGAAACTGAAAGCAAAATGTATAAAACCTGGTGCAAGGAGAATGCTGTGGTCCACACACTATTGGTCAGTGTCCCACTTTGCTGGCCTTTCCATCACTGTATGTATGGTGTCATTCAGGAGAGCTGAAAGCCCTGGGACCCCTGAGACCTGTGCCCCTTTGATGCAGGCTTTAGCAAGGAAACAACCTGAGCAACAGAGAGCTGCCTGGCTGGCCCTTGGAAATGTGGAAGCAATCAAGGCTGGGCTACAGCTTACAGCAGCACAGGACTAGGTGCCTGGCAGCCAGCTGAGGGCTGTGGGTCCTACTTGACTGGGAGGGCTGGGGTGGTCCCTGACTTCTCTCCTGCATGGTCAGCCCAAGCTGAATGTGCTTCTCTGCACTGGGGAACCTTGGGCTCCTGTGCAGCCCCACTTATGCTGGGGCTGACATGTGCTGAGTGGGCATGTCCTCAGCTACAGCCCTCACATGCTGCAAATGTGGGACTGTGGAAGAGACTGTACAGTGGGACTCCAGCTCTTTCAAACACACCACCCCCATCCCTGCGACAGGCCAATCTTGCACCCTTGATGGCACAAGAAATTAATAGGCCTCAGCAGTTTGAAGCCATGGGGGCTCCTTGCTGCAGGGCTCCTTTTCCTGTCAGGGAGTGGAGGCTGCATTCAGGGATTTAAACATGGTCACCTCCTCTGCATGGCCACATAGCTGTGGCTGCATGCTGGTGTAGGCTCCCTGCAAAGCTGAAGAAAACAAGGAGAATGCTTTTGCCCACGTTACCCCATGGCTCAGCATTCACAAACTCAGCTGAGTTTGTGTGCCTCCCCAGGCTGCTTCCACCTGCCTGACCAGCTGCATTGGCTGGATTTGAGACTGCTGGAAGGCAGATGGAGGCTGTAGGCAGCTTCAGCACAGTGTGCCTACAGAGTGGCCTCAAATGGATCTATTCCTCCTGCTCCTCTCCTAGGTAACAGATGAGTCACACTAGTAAGAAACTGTTTGAAGGCTTTCCAGTGAGCGTTCCATCTTTTGGATGGAAACAGCTGATGCATATAATTTATAAAGGACCTGCAAATTCCCAAGGGGGCAGCTGGGGACTAGAGGAAAGAAGAGCTGTATTTCTCTCATTTCAGTAGTAGTTATTTTAGAGTCAGGAAGTTGCTGCTCTGAACGGCGGATTGCACGGAAATAAAACTCTGACCCTGCCTGAATGGGGCTGCCACCCAGGCAAAAGCTCCAGTGCTGGCGACAGTCTGCTTAAAAAAATATGTGTGACCCAAAGGGCAGTATCAGCCTGTCCAGAACTCCTGATCTTCTCACAGTACCCTTCTGGTCTTAAAACACAGCTTCCAAGGGTGCTGCTGCCTGCTTCTTCATCTAAAAATACTACTGCCAAGGGGAACTTTCTATGTCTACAGAACATACCCATTTCCCAGAGGTGATTTGAATATATAGTGTACTGTGGATTTAAGTGAGATAAAGCCTGAACTATTGTGAAAAAGGGGATTTGCTCTCATTCACTTGAGTGGTTTTTAGACCTGTATCCCTCGCTATTTGTTTAAACAGACTGGAGATGTCATAGAGCGTTTCCTTCTGTGTGTTGTTCAGCGTGGCACTAGTAGCTTTGAATGTGCTGGCTCAGCTCCGTGTAGCGGCAGATACCTGTCTTGGTATCGCTACTGCTTTGGTATGAAGGGAAACACAGTGTTCCCTCTCTTGAGCCATGAATAGAGGAAACAATCAAAGAAAGAAAGAAGAAAACAAGCCCCAGCACTCCCCGAACTTTCAGCTCCTGTGACAGGTGCTGTGGATGCAGATCTTCCTGCATCTGCCTGCAGGATACAGCTGGTGACTCAGGTTCAAGCCTTGGTACTGCTGTAGAAAGATGATATTGGTAATCACTACATAGCAGACAAGAGTGTGTGCTATGAAACAGGCCAGGCTAAAAAGGTTGTTTGCCTCTGCCAGGCCTGCCTGCTGCCCCAACCCTGCTCCCTGAAGGAACTTGGGTTTTTTGGTCTTTCTTACTATGCAGAGTTTTCTGTTTATGCCTCACTCGTGCTTTCTTTCTTATCTTTTTGTAACCACTTGTAGTATTTTTCACTCCTGCCTGAGGAATCCTAGCTAAACTGTAAATTTGTTTATTATATTAATGGGCTGTTCTCTCCCAAAATGCACCTTCAGCTTGAATTCTGGTTAGTGTTTTGCTGTCTGCCTAGTCCAGTGCTTATATTAGTTCTCTCTCATTTTCCAGTTGTGGTATGCTGTTCTAGCCTCAACCCTCTTATAAACCAGACCAATTAAGACAGATTTACACCTGAAATTTGGGATTGTACCTTGCAAACCAGACCTGGGCATCATGTACCTGTGTATTGTAGTGAAAGTTCCCATGTGTTTTTAGTTCTTAGGTAGTATAAACCTGTGACCACCACTTGTCCCTATTGCTTTTCCCTTCCTTAACACTTTGTCATCCATGATTTTCACTGTAACAGTCTGATGTTAAGTTTTTCTGTAGTACTCTTACGGCTTTTCAATTGTTCTGCAGAGAAATTGGTCTTGCCTGACATTACTCAAGTTACAGAACAGCTGAGCTACATCAGGTGCTCAGTGGCATGTCCAGTTGAGGTTTGAATTTCTCAAAGGATTGAGAATCTTCATTATTTCTATGTCCTTGCGCTTGCACTGTGATAATGAAGCAGCCTTTGTCCCAGTCCTTGCAATGCCATGGATGTGCACTAGCATTTCACCGAGGGATTGGATTCACCTAGGATTGAGGCTGGGCATGTAAGTGCCGTAGTGGTAAATGACAGTAAGGCACAGGACAGCAATGTTTATTAAACTGTTACTTCCTGGACACAACACAGGATATCCTCACCTTTTCTTTGCCATAAGTCCTTCCCCAGAAATAGCATCTTCAGGAAGAGTAATTGCACTTCTACTTGTGTTTTGATGAAATAATGAATCTTTGGTGGATAATCTCTCTGCAACAAAGAGCAAATGGTAAATGTGCTGTCATTGTAAAGTAAATGGTCACTGTCATTGTAATTGCCTGTCATCTGTTATCAGAGAAGAGTTCAGGAAGGGTCAGCGTGTTCTTGGCCAGGAAGACTCACAGATGGTGAAGGGGATGAGCTCCACCTCTTCCATTTTAGGAAGACCTTTTGCAGGAAAGCCTTGCTCCTGGCACGGTCTCTGGGAACAGCATTGCAGACAGTTTTTGGGAGAATCTGTGGGTTGTGCCACCCTGCAGCCAAGAGGGCCTGGTGCATTTTTCTACCCCCAAGTCATTCAGTGTGTCTATCAGAAACCAAGACATAGAGATAGTAGAGATAGGGCAGAGCTAAAGGAGAGAGTTGGAGTGGGGACACGATTAGAGTGCCTCTGTTACTACCCTTCTGGTAAAACCCATTTCTATATTATTTCTATATGTAGAGAGATAAAGGCTGTTGCCTGAGGAAAGTACTAGGAGAGTTTTCTGAGACACAAGCTGAGCAAGCAGCTAACCCTGTTCTTCTGAACATCCTGACTTGGTCCCAGCAGAGCCATCCTGCCAGCTGTGCTTGGACAGGGATCTGCACTGGGCCTGTCTGTTTGGGAGAGAGATGTCTCCAGGACCTCTCCCTTTCCTGGCCAAGCAGTATTTTGGAACCCTTTCCTTGGCCCTGCATGGCTCCCTCTGGCTCCAGGAGTGTCTCTCCACAGCATGGGACTGGCACACCAGGTGCAGAGAGTTAAGTACAGCAGGCTTGTGAAGAGCAGATGCTCTTGGTAGGTGGGAAAAGAGAAGGGGCCTCTGGCAGCTCAGGGAATACTGCAGGCTTTTGCAAAGTGTTCCTAGTCATGTGAAAGGTGGCTCTGCCAGGTGGAACAGAACACAGTCAAGGCATTCTCTCTTGTGGACTGTGAACACCATTGTCTTGTGTGTGTGATGCAGTGGAATCTGTGGTCGAGCTCAGTGTGTGTCTGCCAATCTTGTTGTAGGGTTCAAAGCGAGTCCTGAGGTCAAATGAATACGTCCTCCCGCCTGGGGGCCTGATGGAGACTGAGCTGGAGCTGACCTTCTCGCTGCAGGTACCGGATGTTGCCTGGTCCCTTGGGCTCCCTTACATCCTGGGCATTTTTCAGCAAGCACAACCTTAGGACTAGGTTTGAAAAGGGCCCCTCTGTGAAGGGGCCTACTGTGGTTGGCCAGCTGCTCCATTGCTCCAGGGATTGTTTTTCTGGGCACTGAGATTTGGAGGATGATGGATAGGTGCACGGGGCCTTTGAGGGTCACCTCAAAGCTCAGCAGGTCAGATCCTGCTGTACATCAGCAACGAGGAAGAGTTTTCTACCTGTGTGTCATGCTGAACCTTGCCCTCATGCTGCCATCTTTTTTGTGCTTCCCTTCCCCAGTACCCACACTTCCTCAAGAGAGATGGCAACAAACTTCAGATCATGCTGCAGCGGAGGAAAAGATACAAGAACCGCACCATCCTGGGCTACAAGACCCTGGCAGTGGGAATCATTAACATGGCTGAGGTATAGGGTGCTGGGAACAGAGGGGAGTCCCCCATGGCCTTCCTGTGCCACCAATGGGCAGGGAGTTGGGCTGGCAGGCAGGGTCTCATTGCTGTGAGTGTTCTGGCTTGTTCGCTGGCTGTTATAGAGAGAGGGTGGGCTGCCAGCTGCCATTGTGTCACCCTATCAGGGAGCTTGTCTGTCTGTCTGTCTAGGTTATGCAGCACCCAACTGATGGCGGGCAACTCCTGGGCCTCCACAGCAACATGAAGGATGTGAATGTTCGAGTGGCTGAAATCAGCATCTACTCTCTGTCCAGTCAGCCCATTGACCATGAGGATGGGAACATCCCCTCAGGTCCTAAGATCAAAGCTTCAGGTGTGTTTAGTGCTCAGACCTGCAGGCAAACATTTGGGACACGGGTAATGGAGTGTGTCCCCCAGCACTGCCAGTGATGTCAGTACTTTCACTGGAGCCATGACAGACATCATATTTACCTGGTACATTTGCACTGTCTGCTTTTAGATCGCTCCCCAGACATAGATAACTACTCTGAAGAAGATGACGACAGCTTCTCCTCAGAGCAGGAAGCCAGTGATGACGCTGTGCAGGGTCAGGTAAGGGAGGCCTGGCAAGATGCCTTATGTCCTGGTCTTGTCTCTGAGGCAAGAGTCAGGCATTGAGGTTCTTGATCACCCTGAGCTGTCTCATCCCCTTGTAAACATTTGGCGATGTTTCAGAGGGCTGAGAGCCATAATACCTGACAGCAAAAAGAACATTGACAGCAGTAGGCTGCTGTCAAGGCCATGGTGAGACTTTGGAGAGCCATAGATCTCATCTATCTGTCTCTGGATCTGTCCAGTCTGCAGCAGAAAAGCCCTGCTGAGCCCTCTCCATCTTGCAACATGATTTTCTACCTTCTCCCTCTGATAAAAGGTCAGAGACTCCTCTGTCTGAGAGAGAAGAGGGATTTTAGCAAGAAGTAGGTCTGAAAATGGTCAGAGGTGGCAGACCCATCCCAGTCCTGTGATGAGCTGTGTCACTGCTGTTTGCTGTGCTCTTCTTGTGGTGCCTATACTCAAGGCCATGGAAAGCCTTGTGGTAGTGTGCTGATAAAACACAGGGACAAAGTTCTGTTCAGGATTGTTACGATCTGAGGGGTAACTGAGGTTGTTGGGGCAGATTAGAGTGAGACAACACTGGATCACCATTGTTTATATATCTATATGACAGGTTTGTTTCAGAACAACCTGGTTGCAGTGGAAAGGCGGTATGTGGCCATTTTGGTTATTTTTACCTATAGTAATACAGCAGTATAAAAGTATAAAGATAACACTTAAGAAAATATATGAGAAAAAGAAAGTTAAAGGAAGTATAAGAGTAGATAGTGGAGAGGAAAGAGGTCACCAGCCATGGATTCAGATTTGATTGTTGCTTGGTTGAAGCAATGGTCATAGTCTTGATGGGGGAAACAGAGAGTTCATAGATTCAGGTTTAGGTGGGAATGCCCAGATACCTTTGCTGGAGTGGGGACTTTTACACTGTCTGGTGCAACAGTTTGGATTAGGTGCAGTCCTCAGGTGAAAGGCCTCAGAAATGAGTCTGGGGTGCCTGAGGGGGATCTTTGATAGTTTGATGCCTTCTAAGACATGAGAGCTCTCTCTCACTTCAGTGTAGTTGAGCCAGTTATGCCCCATCAGAAGGGATGAATACCTTCAGGCCTAAGGGGGGTGGGATGGGGAGGAAGTTTTACATCTGAGCCAGTTGTGTAAGGGAGGATATTGGCCTGATAAAACACATTATCCCACCCAGCAGGATCTGCTTCTTGTGACCTCTTCCTTTAGCTGGCTCAAAACCCAGCTTGTTGCTAAACTAAGGTTTGTTTGTCATGGTCAATCTCTGGTGATTGGTGCTCACCATTCTGCACCTAGGCTGTTCTTATGCAAATCAGAGGCTTCTCCAGCACACATCCAAAAATTCTCTTCCTCTCCTTCAGTTTACTGCGCCTCAGCAAAATACACCTGCTGCTTTTGCAAATGGCCATTTGTTCAAGTCATAAACTATAAAATTATAATTTAATTTAAAATTATAATTTTAGTCTCTCACAAGGGTTCTTCAGATTACCTGTTCCAACATGCTTGATTAATACATCAGGGGCCCATGTCTCTGGGAGTTGTGCATATTGTTAAGGCTAATCCCTGGAAAAAATGTTTTTTCGTGATTCATGTGCTGCAGTCTCTGAGCTGACTCTGAAAAGGGGAGAGCAGGAGAACAGCATGTGGGTCCTGAGGAGGCTGTATCTCCTCTTAATCTTGCTGATACATTCTTCTCTGGAGGCACCTGGGGACAGAAGTGCTGAAAAAGAAGGTCTGAAGGCGAACAGTCCTAAGGGGAGAGAAGGATCTCCATAGAGAGAGGTAGCAGAAATGAAAAACAAGATTTCGGGAGCAGAGTGGATCAAAGCTTTTCAAAATGGAGAGCAAATGGGGGTCAGGAAACTTTTAGGAGGTGCTGCTCCATCAACTTAGTTGTTCTGATGTACTGTGACTTTTTGCCTGCAGGATCTGTTTGATGAAGAGGATGACTTGAGGAAAACTAAGAAGGCCAGGAGGAAAATGATCCGAACCACATCAATTACGAGAGTAACATCAGCATTTACAACATGATCAAAGGGATGGAAGGGATTCACTTTCTCCCCTCTCTGAAGGCAGTGATGAGTGTTGGGAAGGAGGAATGCTGGCACTGTGCAGAGCAAGGGAAAGAGCCCTTGGCTCTGAGAAAGGAGCATCTTGCCATAAATGAGCTAGCTTGTTGCTCAGAGCTGTATCCCAGTTCATGGTCTATACTCTGTTCAGCCTGGCTTTATATCAGTGGTGATCTGTGTGCAATAGAGTTTTGACTTGCTGCTGTCACATGGTCTCTTTCCTTTCTTGAGGAAGGGCAAGGTAGGCACAAGGAAAGCTGAACTATTAGCAGCTCCTCTGCATGTCTGCAGAAGAGAGGAGCTGCTCTGCCATACCCTTTCTCTCCAAATTTCTCATTCCTGTTGACTTCAGCTACTTTCTTGGCTATTTTCTTACTGAGTTTGTTACCCATCTTTTCTTGCTTGAAGGCAGTATTGCTCAACCAGCTAGTCTGGGGAGAAACAAGATTTAAACAAAGTGCTATTCCAGCCTGTAGCAGACAAAATATGAGTCCTTGCATCCTCCCCCATGCCCAAACATGGCTTCTTGTGGAGTACAGAGGTAGTCCAAGTTCTACTGCAAATTTGAAGAGAGAGAGACAGCTGACCTTGGATCTCTGGACAGCATGTTAGAGAGAATAACCATGGCCTGTATGTTAGTCAGCTTGGAATGTGGTTTGATAATTTGGCTCATCTTTTTTTCTTCCCTTCTTTTGTTTTAGCAACCAAACTTCAAGCAGAAATTTGTGGCTTTGCTGAAGAGGTTCAAAGTGACAGAAGAGGTAAGAAACAGGAAAATTGCCCCATCTGGCAATGTCTCTGCACATGTGTAGGTGTCAGGGTGCAGGTTCCCATTCACTGGGAGCACAAGGCTCATGAACTCAGGTGCCAAAGGTAGTGTGAGACATTGCAGACTAGGACATGGCCTTTCCAAAGCCTTCTGCCTCAAGAAGGCAGCTCTGGGCCTTGTGCTCAAATCAAAAAGCACCTTCCTGTTGGAGGGAGGTGCCATGGGAAGAAGAGTGCTGTCACGCACTGACTCTGCCCCAGGAGCTGGCATTGTAAGGACAATCCTGTCCAGTTAGACTGACTGCAGGCTAACATCAGCCTGTGGATGGCTTCTCTTAGCTGACAGCCCAAGCTAAATGTGTAGCACAGCCAGTGAAGTTTCTCCCAGATGTCCTAACTACTGCCAGTAAGTGTGATGGGTGTCTGAGATTCCTTTGGATGTCATGCTCATGGCACCCTCCTTTGGCCCAATGACAATGTCACTAGATTCTTCTACAGTCTGGATTTGCCTCCCTGTTTCTTCACTGCTCTCTCGGCTTGGTCCCACAGGTCCTGGACTCTGACCCTGTAGACCAGACCCAGGAGGTGGAAGAAGACCTGGGCTTGCTCTATGACAGCCTGGAAGAGTGCAACAACAGTGACAGCGGCCCAGAGATCGAGGACAATGAGAGTGTGCACAGCACACCCAAGCCCACCCTGAGGTAAGGATTGCAGGGAGTCCCTGACCAATAGCACTCTGGGACCTGGAGAAATGCTCTCCAATACTTTTCTGTTGCTTGGGCTAATGCAGGCATTGTCTTGTCTCCACTCCCATTGCCATCTTCTATTGACACCACTGTCTTCTCACTCAAAACTGCCCATTAAATCTGACTTCCTTCACATTCAGTCTCATTTTTCTGCTATCCCAGCATGTGACTGATCTGCTGGTAGAATCCTGTTTGATCTAAGCCCCGGTTGCTCCTAGCTCTCATATCTTTCTGCCAGCAATCCTGGTGTTCTCTGGGCTCTCAACACTGAAGCATGCCTGTCTTTTGAGCACTTTGTGACTGCTTGGACTAGACCTTGGGAGATGTGCATGCTGTGTTCACACCCTGTGTGGAGATGTGACTAGCAACCAGCAGCACTCATTCTCCAGGCACTGGTGACTTGCTCTGTCAAGAACTGCTCACTTAGCACAGGGGTCTCCAGTGGATCATGTAGGGAAACCAGGCTTTGCTCCCATGTGGTCTGTGCTCACCTGGCCTCTGCTCATGGCTCTTGTGCTTTTGTGCTGGCTTTTTGTGAAAAAAGTTTTCTTTTATTGTCTTTCTACATGACTGCATCATAGTGCACTGGGTCTCTTGTAGTTAAGCCAAGCTCACTTGGCGTTGTTATTTCTATAGTTTTTATATACAGAATCATAGGATCATAGAATAGCCTGGCTGGAAGAGACCTGAAAGATGTTTTAGTGCCAATCCCCCTTCCATGTGTGTTTTAGTTTTGATTTGCTAATTTAAATATACTTATTTTTTGTTGTGAGACAGAACTAGGAGCAAAAGCAAGACAGGCTTAAAACTTAGGAGGGTATAAAAAAGAAATTTATTAACTACACAAACAAAGGAAAAAAAATTCAGAATAAGATTTTTTAGACCACTCCTTCTTTCCCTTTCCTAACCTTTATAACAACAAAACAAACAAAAAAAACTACTTCAGTCAATTTCTAACTCAGTTTTTTTCAGTTTACTTTTGGAGAGAGATGCCTTTTCTTGTTGGAGCTATAGGGATTTTTCTCCAAGAAGGAAGAAAACAGTTCTCTCATGGTTTTATTTTAACGATTTGCATCTGCCCGGGAACCTGCAAATCGTGTCACTCCTCCTAACTCCACAGCCTTTTTAAAGCTGTAGGTGTGGGCTGTCTTTCTTATGGGGGTATTATTTTTAAGAATGAAATGTTCTGCAGCAAAGGTCTTCTTTATTTATTTTTTCTCTGTTAATGCTTTGTCCTCAGGAAACTGAGATTTCCTTCTTTTTTCAGGGTAAAGATTTTCAACACAGGTGCTTTTTGGTTAAATGATTTATTAAATGGAACATTTCTAACTCTTTATGGTTTTTTCTATGGTTTATAGGAATATTCAGTACATTAGTTTATCTTTACAATTTTACAAAAGGATTTTCAGCCATTTTGACAGCATCTCCTCATTCTCCTTCTATTTAAAAAAAACTTAGCTCTTGCTTCACTGACTTCAGAACATCTTTTTATTTCTTTTCATATTCAAAGGAAGGCCGGAGGTTTTGCAAATCTTATCTGAGCACTAAAGAGTTAAAGTTTCACACAGTTGCAAGAGTTGGGCCAGGCCCAGGCCGTGCGGGGTGGGGGGCGGCTGAGATGTCAATCAGCCTTACTGGTGTTTGCTGCAGCCCCACACTGCCCATGGCCACCCCTGCTCCCAGACAGGGCCTGGCTGCCTCCCCCAGGCCGTGCAGGGGCTGGGCAGGCCCGGCCCTTCTGAAACTGCTCCGAGCCAGCAGCAGGAACCAGGCCCCCCTCCCAGAGCTGCAGGCCTGTGGAGGAGGAAGCTGTGTAGGTTTTATAAACGAGCCTCTCCTGCTTCCGGCCATCGGGTCCCCTAGTTTGCAAATAGGACCCAGCGGCCTCCCGAACCTCCCCCCTCCTCATGGGTTGGTCTTACCTGCTCAGCCACTGGAAAGACAAAGAGAGTCAGTTCCGGATTACCTCCTTTGAAATGCATGTTCACGGATTGGCTGTTGAAGGTGTCCCAACCCCCCACAGGGGAAGCCCCCTTAAAGAGAACTTCTCTTTGAGTTTCTTCTTTCCAGGTCAAACCAGCACAATGTAAAAAAAAAAATTAAAAAAAATATATATTATGATTTGGAGGATTTGGAGTAGTTGGTATCCCTGCTGAAGGTACATAGCAGGAGTAGCAGGCGTGGTTTGCCACAGGCAAACTGAAATTAAATCTGCTGGATTTTGGAGCCCATGGGCCACTTGGGAAAAAACAAACATGATAGAAGTCGTGTTTTCCACAAACCCACAAGTCATTGTGAAGGAGACAGCAGGCACATGGGCAAGCTGCTTAAATGATCTGCTTGGACTCCAGAAGGAGTTTCACATGGTCTCTCCTCAAAGGAGAAAAAAGTTCTGTAGGAGAAGAAGGAAGTTCCTTTTGTGGTCAGATAGTGGTTTATGTACATAGACTATGTGAAACTGTAAGAAAAATCTATTGAGAGTATTTAAACATAAGTCCTCCACCCTGGTTCTGCAAGTGCCTGCTTGCAAACATCTGATCACTGGAACAGCATTCCAGAATGAGTGCTGGTTTGTGCTGGTGGCCACCACAATAGTCTTCCTGGGGTGTTTGGTGCTGTTCCTGGAAGGAGAACCTATTGGGCTCTGAGCAGTTCTTCATCCTGTTCACCAAGTGTTCCTGGCTTGGTTTGGTCTCTGGTGCCTCAGTTTCTGGCTGTGCTGAGTGTGTGTCCCTTGAATTCACAAGGGAATACTTCACAAAATTCTGGGACTATTTTTTCTAAGGTGATGTGGAAGCTGCCTTCCGAGGTGTTTCATGTAGACTTGGTTCCCAAGTGCTACGTGGCCTTCTCAGGGGGGTAAATTACAGCCCAGCCTGTAAATTTGAGGTGATCCTCAGGTTGGATTTTTTGTCATAGACAGCCTTGCTAGACACAGTAAACATCTCCGTGAAGCAAGGGTATGCAGTCCTTAACAGTGGGAAGTGGCTGGTGTCCTGGATTGGGCCAGTGGTGCTGGGGGTGTTCCTTTGGATCAGCCAGGGAGGCCACGCAGCATCAGATTGCTCCTGCACTAGGGCAAAACTGGAGCTGGAACTGAGGCTGTTAGGCAGGACCTCAAGTCAGACCTATAGATTGAAGGTCAAAGGTGAAGGAGCAAATGTCTTCATAGGTGACTGGGAAAATGGATGGGACAAGGGGGGCTAAATTCATTTAGAGCAGAAGGACTGGGCTTTACCTAAATCTCAGCGTGCTGAGATGTGGGGTCAGTCATGCCTATAGGAGGAGAGCCTTTAAACTGCAGAACAGGAAATTGCAGAAGAGCTCTGTGCTTAATGTGATGTCCTTGAGGGGTGAAAGCTTCTGAATTGAGTGAGAGAATGCACGAACAAACACAGCTTTCATGGGGAAGGGGGAGACAGCCCCATTTAAATGGAGTGTTGAAAGCTAGAGGAAGTATAATACAATCTAGGGACATCCAGTGTCTAAGAAAAAGGAGGGAATGAAGGTATCTCTTTGTGATGCCAGTGGCACCAAGGGTATGTCACAATCTGGTGGGATTACTTGGGACAGTGTAGAGGAGTATAGAAGAGATGCTGACTGAGGGGTGATCAATTAGAAAACCTATGTGTTTTTCTGGTTTGACTCTTAAGTTACTAATATAGTCAGTATGGGTTGAATTTCTGGCTGGGAAAAGGCAAGTGTAGAGTAATGAGTGTACAGAGTGGTGACAATGCCTGAGGTTTTGTAGCAGAGAATGGAGGGGAAGAGAGAGAAGAAATATGTTAGTAAAAGGAGGTGTAATTTATACCAGTGTGGCCTGGAGAAAATGTCCCACCAGGGCATTATTGTGACTCTATACCTGAAGCAACTGGTCACAGAGCCAGTGAGGGGAAAATCAAGCCTTGACTTTTCCCAACCACTGTATAAACAATGCTGCTGAAGAGCTGCTTTGTGTGGGAACCATCATTTATTTACAGAAGTGGAATGTCCTTTCAGGAGTAGTAAAATCTGACAAACACTCTTGTGCTTGGCAGTACAGTGTGTTGTATACAAAATGAGGAAGGATGCTAAAAGGAAAATAAAAGGAGCAGGCAGGGTGTTCAGAGGAGGTATCCTGCAGGAAGCTGCAGGTAAATCCTGTTGAGAAAAGTAGAAAACAATGGAAAGAAACTCTGATAGAGTACTAACAGAAGAACTTCTCTGTATCTTATGCCTCAGTGGCTATCCTTGGAAACCCACTACCTCATAGCCCCATCTGCACACTAGGCACATCAGGAGAAACATTTCCTGGGAGTTAATGAGCACATATACAAAGCTTAGAGGGAATCTAGCTCTCATCTCCTGCAGCAAAGTGGCACCTTGCCAGATGGATTCTAGTTTCTGTAAAGGTCCTGGGAAAACTGACAAGTGAGATCCATTTGTTTCCTAAAGATTCGTCTTGGAGCAGCCCACAGGCTGTGAAAGGGGTCCTTGGCAAATAAATAATGTGTGGAAAAAAGGTAAGCAAAGGTGGAAGCTCACACTGTAGTGGTAGAGACTGTCCTGGCTTCCCTTCCCCAAGAGAGTTCCTGTGTGAACTGTGGTGACTTGAAAACAGGACCTTGGAGCTGCACTATGCAACTCTACCAAAACATCAGCTCAGAGACTGAAAACTTGGCAGATTTAAGTACTGTGCTACCTGAGGTGTGGTTCTCTGTGCAATACTGAGATCTTCAGAGCCTTGGGAAAGGGGAAGGCAGAAAGGGAAGGCACACACTGCAGTTGAAGTGTGCAGCAGCAACAGGCAGAGACAAGGAGCAATCCTTGGAAAAGGGGAAGCAGAAGGGAAGGCAGCAGAAGTCTGTGGAAGCTATGATGGTGCAGAGGAAACAGAGAGGTTTAGCGGCATGCTGTAGTTGTGGTGTTGGCAGAGACCATGTACCAGTGAGATGGGGCAAGGTGGCATCTCCTCACCTGCACTGCAGGGGTAGAGGGGATCACCTGAGGCAGAAAGCGTCAGGAGACTCTTAACTCTAGCTCCTCCAGGTCACAGAGGGCACTGCTGAAAGGTCTGCTCCTCAGCTGTGCATCGCCCAGACACTTGGCTGTCTGGCCGTGTGTCCCACTGAGGACCTCTCCACAGAGCTCTGTGCTTGGGACAGGCCGGTGGGGGTGTGCTGGGATCATGGTGACTTTGTTCCTCTCTTATTCCTGCCTTTTTCTCTCCCGTCTGTCTGTCCATCTGTTTGTCTGTCTGTTTCTCTGCAGGCGTTTCTTTGAGGGAGTCTCTCATTCTGGTTCCCAGACTGAGATCGGCAGTCTGCACAGCCAGAAAGGGCAGGATCAAGAGTCGGGCAGCCCTGTGAGTTACACCTCCACCACCACTTCATGCCCCTTTCCCTTCCCAGCTAGCCCAGCTCCCCCACAGTGCCTGCACTCTGAGACCACAGCTCTTGGTAGCACCTGCCTGGGGCTGCTCCTTTCCTTCTTTCCTCCTCTTTTTCCTAGTACAGGCAGACAGGTAGCAATGGGGTGCATCCTTTGGGGCCAGTCCCAGAGATGCCCGACTCCCCTGTGGGAGCTTCTGTTCTTTGAGGCCAGGCATGGGTCACTGGCACCTGCCTGCACAGAGTGCTCCATCCTGCTCTGATCCCACTCCCTGTTCCCCAGGGAGAGGCAGACAAGCGGAACCCAGGAGCACAGCGACAACAGGAAGAGCCAGGAGCAGAGGTCCCTGCAGTGGTAAGTCCAGGCTATGGGGTGTGGAGCTCTCTCAAACCCCACCTTGCTTTCTGGAGTACCAGGGTGCCCACCAGGCTGGGAACAGGGCTGGGAAGACAAGAAGATTGTACTGGAGAGCAGTAAGAGTTGAAGGAGTGCTAGGATCTGCAGGACATGCAGCCCTCCCAAGACCCTGCAGCTTTGGCTCTCCAGGAGGGCCACCAGGCCTCTCTTGATGATGGGCACCCATGGCTGCTCCCTGCTGGAGCAAGGAGAGCAGTGTGTGTGAAGTGACTCTGTGTGGCCCTCAGGAGCTCGTGGCAGAGGAGCTGTGTTCCCGGCTGGCCCCCACAGAGGCTGCCATGAGAGAGGGCAGCATGGACAGACTGGCCCAGCTGGGCCCTGGGACCAAAGCCGAGCTCCCCAGTGCCATATCTCCCAGGTAAGGCAGGTCTGTGCCCCCTCCCAGGGCTGAGCGAGCTCACACTGGCTACCTGAACTAAGTAGGGGTTAGTGGAGATGAGATTTCCTCAACAGTTTTGCCTCTCCTGCTTCTCCTTCACAGCAAGGCAGAGAGCAAGCCATTGTGGCGTCCTCGCAGCACCTCTGTGAAGGACCGGCAGAGCTCAAAGGGACAGGGTGGCCGTGCCAGCAGCCTGGACAGTGAGAGCTCTCCAGACTCATGGCATAGCACCCAGGTGAGGGCCTTGGGAGTCATCCCACTTGGAGGCTTTCCACTCAAGAGCTCTGCCAGGCCTTCAGCCATGGGCAGTGTACAGGGTGGCTGACTGGGGTTAACCTTTGTGGTGATGCTGTCACAGGTGCCTCGAAAGTCTGTTTATGATCAGCTGAACCAGATCCTGGTCTCAGACGAGCAGCTCCCCGAGAGCATTGTGCTGGTGAATGTCGCTGAGTGGCAGGGGCAGGTGAGTAGGTGTGATGGGAGCTGGATTCATATGGGGGCAGCTGTAAGCAGGGTAGATTCTCCCAGTCATAGCAGAGCATCCTAAGGAAACTGGCACCAGCTGTGCCCTCCTCTCCCCTAGTGTCTCACTTCCTTCAGGGAGACAATGCATTTACAGGGTGCTGAGCCACATACATAAGAGTCAGGTGTGTCTCCTCCATCACAGCATCACTGGATCCTCAAAACATGATGTCTTGATCAGTCCCAGAAAGGCTGGCTAGCAGAATGTGCCTTATGCCCTCACTGCTTGGTCCTGGCTCCCAGGAACCCCATGGGTCAGAGCTTTGTTGGATTCCCTGGCAAAGGGCTCCCTTGCTCTGTGGACACTAGGCCCTGGAAAACAGCAGACGTATTTCCCATTGAGAGATGGAAGAGTCTCCCTGCCGCTCCCAGGGAGCATTAGCTACATCGTAAGAGCAGGATGGGGCGTGAGGACAGGCTTGGCCCTTGACAAGCACTTGCCTCCCCCATACCTGAAGCTCTGTAGCCAAAGGTGAGTGAGGAAATGTACATGTGTGCAAACACGCAGTTAGATAAAACTAACTAACGGGACAGTTGGACCCCTTAACAGGGCTGTGATACCCCTTCAGGATCCTGCAGCTACATCTGGCATCCAGAAATGGTGCTGGAAAATTTTGAGGCAGAAGAAAGGGCTTAGTGAGAGGCAGTGGAGTCTTGACTCAGACCATGCATTCTTGGCTTGTTCCACTTTTCCTGGATAGGGAAAAAAGGGTTAATGCCCTCTTCCAGAACCAGCCCCCTTGTCTGTCTTGACTGCCTATTTTATCATTGTTGAACTGCATGTAGACACCTGAAGAGACAGAAGGATTTTGGAGTGCCACAGTGGGAGAGAGTAAGAGGAGGGAATGAGCAGAGGCAGTGAGCTTAGAACTGGGCCCTGCTGTGGGATAGCAGAATTTAAATCAGAGGGTCCCTGGACCAAACTGCTTATTTCAAGGAACACAGCCTAGACAGTTTTGCCCTTGTCATGGCAAGAGTGGTGACTGCTATGCTCAAATGTGAGAGCAGGGGACTGGCTGACCCCTAGAGCAGAGCTGGGAGGAGCGGGGATGCTCAGGATGCAGCTGTGAGTGACCTGATGGTTTCAGCCTCCCTGTATGGTACAGGTGGGGATAGGTGTCCTGGCTCTAACCCAGGGCAGGTATGGGCTGATGCTGGCCAGCACAGCCATGTCTCCAGGGTGCCTTAACCTGAGCTCTCTGCATTGGCAGTACGTGAGTGAGCAGCTCCAGGCGCACAAGCAGTTGGTTGTATCCACCTGCTCCGTGGCGGACATCCAGGCAGCCTTCAACACCACTGTCTCCCGCATCCAGCGATAGTGAGTACAGCTTGGGGTCAGCCTGGTGGCACTTCATGGATTCAGAGAAGGGCTGGGTATGGCCCTGTCTCCTCAGGGCTTATTAGGATCTTTTGGGGTTGTGAACACTACTATAGACGCAGGTATAAACATTGGGGAGAGTGGGGGGGCTCCCAGTACTACTTTTGCTCATGGCAGTGCACACCAAGCTGGATATTCTCAGCAATGGGTTTTTGTCAGCTGGCCTGGCAGATCGTGTGCCCTGGCTCACCTGCTGAGGTGCACATCCCTCACAGTCTCCTTTTCCTCTCCCATTGGCAGCTGTAACTGTAACTCCCATATGCCTCCCCCTGTGAAGGTGGTGGTGGCAGGGGACCAGAGCTACCTGAGTGTTGTCCTCCGTTTCTTTGTGGAGCAGCTGGCCAGCAAGACACCCGACTGGCTCAACTACCTTCGCTTCCTGCTTGTACCTCTGGGTGAGAGCCATCAGGAGCCCAGCCTCAGGGCTGTCCTCTCCCACCTCCCCAGACTCTCCTGGCTGAAACCAACACTGCTCTTCTCCCTTGAAGGCTCGCACCCTCTGGCCAAGTACCTGGCCTCGGTGGATAATAAATACAGCACTCTGTTCCTGGACACAGCTTGGCGGGAGCTGTTCAGCAGAGCTGAGCCGCCCACCGCAGGTGAGGAGTGGGGCAGGTTGGCATCAGCAGTGCCCTGAGGGAGAGCCCAGCTGCCATCGAGGTCTCCATGGCTCTTTGTGCCCGCAGACACTGTGGATATAGCAGGTCGTGTTGCCCAGTTCATCGCTGGAGCCAGCCTCTCTCACCAGCTCCCCATCTCTGAGGCCATGCTGACCTACAAGCAGAAGAGGTGAGTGTGGCCTCAGGGTGCCTGTCCTCCCTCATGCGGCCCTGATCTGGGACGTGCCCAGGACAGGAATGAGGGACACAGGGGACAAGTGAGTGAGACCATCCTCATCTTTTATGGTGCTGAGGGGAGCTGAGGTCCCACAGTGAGAGGCCCACAGCACCATTCCCTGCCACCTCCCAGTGTGCTTGGCCCCTCCAGTAGCTGTGGCTGTGACAGCCCCAATGGTGGAAATCAGCTGCCAGGGCTGGGATGGGCTGGGTGGGGCTGCCGGCTAGTATTGTGCTGTCCGGGGGTTGATGGTCATGTTCCAGCTACACTCTCACCTCTCCCTTCTCTTGGTTTCTGGCACCCAAGGAAGAGAAGTCTCTATTTTGATTTTTATATCAGGTATTGGCTTGTGCTTGCTGTGCCGCTGCCTGGCCCCTCCCCGCCTTTCCCCATGTGCATCTGTCCCTCTTGCTATGCAGAGGAGCCACGACCCCACAGAGGGGCAGGGCTGCCCTCCCGCATGCAAGCCCTTTCCCAGCACCGGAGGGGACAACTCCTTGCCTCCTTGTGTAGTGTGCCCTCTGCTGCCATGTTGGGGACAGGGGGTCTCATGGGAGGGAGGGCAGAGGAGATGGTCCTAGTGGATATTGACCCCTGCAAGTGCAAGGCTGCCTGGGAACAAGGTAAGTAGTCACATAGCAATTGGTGCTCAGCACACCCACATCCTAACCAGCCTCTCTTCCTTCTGCAGCCCTGACGAGGACTCCTGCCAGAAGTTTGTCCCCTTTGTGGGGGTGAGTGAGTTGAGGGGCCAGCAGGGGCTGAGGGGAGAGGTGCAGTGCACAGTCCTTCCTGCTGATGCTGGGTATCCTCTGGTTTGTCCTTGCAGGTGGTGAAGGTGGGCCTGGTGGAGCAGTCTTTCAGTGCCTCTGGTGAGTCTCTGGGAATCCCCAGCTCTCTTCTTCCGGGAGGCTCTTTTGGTGTCCCTCAAACCCACACTTTTTCTCCCCAGTGGACTCGGATGATGCTACAGTCTGCACCCCTTCCCTGCTGAGCTCAGCACCAGCCTCCAGTGCAGCTGTTCCCTATGGCAAGGAGACCGTGAGCACCCCGCCACCCTCTCCGTCTGTCAGCAGCAGCCTCTCGGGTGCTGGGTAAGGAAACAAGGCCCCCTCAACCTGAGGCAGTGGAGGGAGAGGAGCAAGGGCACCACCTGTGTGCTGCATGTGCTGCCCATGTTGCCCAGGTCTCCAAGCTCTGGTGTGGAGGTGATGGGCCTGCAGGTGGACTACTGGACAACACAAGGGCTGGACAGGAAGAAGGAGGGTGAAAAGCGAGAGACTGGTACCAAGAACACACTCAAGAGCAACTTCCGCTCACTCCAGGTCAGCCGCATCCCCAGCACAGGGGAACTGGTGCCCCCCAGCACCATGGCCATGACCGTGGTCACCAAGGAGAAAAACAAGAAAGGTAACCATGCCCACTCTGGGGTGCTCTCTGCCTGTGGGGCCACAGTCTTTTGCAAAAAGGGCGGGGGGGAGCCTGCAGGAGGGCAGGGCTGAGATGTGGCCTAGCAGGGGTCAGTCAATTCACTGGGGCAGGGGGTCCCATTTGGGACCAGGTCGGGACATCCTAACATTGGTCCTGTCTGGCCTTGGCCCCCAGTGATGTTCCTGAGCAAGAAACCAAAAGAAAAAGACTTAGAACCCAAAAGCCAAGTCATTGAAGGGATCACACGCCTCATCTGCACAGCCAAGCACCAAAACACCATGTTGCGAGGTGAGGGCAGCCCCTTGGGGCTGTAGTAGGGCAGACCAGGCAGCATAGGTTGGCTGTGGTAGGGCTGTGCCTCACTGCACCCTCTCCTCTCAGTCTCCATAGATGGGGTGGAGTGGAATGATGTGAAGTTTTTCCAGCTGGCAGCACAGTGGCCAACACACGTCAAGTACCTCCCTGTGGGCATCTTTGGCTACTCGAAGAGTGTGTGAGACACTGGGGCATCCCTGGAATGGAGCTGCAGTGGCTTGCAGGAGGAGACAGGGAGCTGGACATGCTCTTGTCCCCATGTTCTGCAGACCAGTCCCTGCCTGCTCAGTGGGGGGAGATAACACACCTGCATCCTGTGGGCCAAGACCCATGAAGGTGAGGCCAGTGAGACCGGGTCCATGCACCCTCCAACACCAGCCAGGACACCATGCCATCTGCCTCCCTAGTCCTCCAACAGCCACCTGGGACAAGGGTTGGCACCAGCCAGCAGGGCCCCAGGAAAGGCTCTGGGCCCCACTCTCCACAGATAGACCTGCCAGGCCAGCCCTGTAGCCAGCTGGGCTGGACCCAGGCAGGTTCCCCACTGCTGCAGCCAGCCAGGTTGCTCTGTGCAGGGGGCAGGTGCTGAGCAGGGCCCACCACCCCTGTACCACTCTTGCCGGCCCCACTGCCAGCCGTGCACTGCTGTGCTGGCCCTGCCCTCCACGGCACAGCCTCAGCAGCTTTTCCAGTCCCCCTGCAGCCCTGCTGCTGAGGCTGTCTCTTCATCTCCCCATCCCTTCCCAACTAGCCCTACCCCATGGTGCTGCCAGCTGGAGGTGTGGCATGAGGGCACCAGAGTTTTGGGTTTTTTTAAAAGATTCTATTTTTGTTAAATTTATTGTATGGTTACTTTTCAGGATTAATTTTAATAAATTAATGCTGTTACCATTATGGCAGGGTGTGTGTCCCCATGTCTAAGGGCATGACTCAGCACAGCTGGGAGAAAACAAATTTGGGCAGGGTGCAGCTATTCCACCACTCCAGTAAGTACGACTATCAGAGCTGCTTGAGCATACAGGGTATGGCCTGGCCATACTCCCAGTCATGGACCAGCTGAGTTCCCCGAAAGACTACAAGGTGGGAGTGGGATCAGCCTGGCTCATTTACTTAAACAAAACTCACACCTGTTTAGGAAGAGACAGACTGGATTCAGCCCGAGTTCTCTTGGCCAGGTCTCATCTACCTGAATGTGGAAAAAGTCTGTCTCCTTTCAGCAGAAGCCAGGCTTGCTGCTGTCTTGATCTCTACAGTCTGGAAGGCAACCTGTGGCTGGACCTGAGAAGGGGGGAGCGTTGTGGATTCAGCAGAGATGTATTCCAAGACATGAGGCCTCCCCTCTTGGCGCCGGAGATAGCCCTGGTTCAGCAGGTGCAGGATGCAGGACAGCACATCCACGCTGTGGCAGCAGAAGCTCAGGAATTGTACCTCTGGCCCCAACTTGCCCTTCTGACAGGCATCGATCACCTACAGCAGCAAGAGAGCCCCAGTGCAGTGGCTGCAGCCCCCATGCACCCCTGTGCACCCTCTGCATCAGCCCCATACCCTAAACACCAGGTTGTCGATGTGCAGCTGCTTCTCCACCTTGAGGATGCGGGTGATGAGGCAGCACAGGACATTCCTCTTCCTTTCCAGGGCGCTCACCTCGGCCCTCTCTGTCCGCAGGTACCTCTGCTGGGGCAGCAGCCTCAGCTGGCAGCCAGAGCTCTGGGCCAGGGCAGCCTGGTTCAGCTGCAGCACACCTAGAGACAGCACCAAAGCCAGGCTCAGCCAAGCCTCGAGCTGGGTCCTGAAGGAGCCCCAGGACACACGTGTGGCTGGG